TAAGACCCAACTCAGCCAAATAAATGAATTAAAAAAAAAAAAAGAATTATGTCAAGTAATTCAGCACAGACTCAAGGAATCAGAGTCTGCATTTTCAATGAAATTCCCTAGGTGGTTTGTATGCACATTAGTATGAGAAGTACTATTCTAAATCATTCAAAAAAAAATATGATCATGGCATCTGGTCCCATCACGTCATGGCAAATAGATGGGGGGAAAACGGAAGCAGTGACAGATTTTATTTTCTTGGACTCCAAAATCACTGCGGACGATGACTGCAGCCATGAAATTAAAAGGTGCTTGCTCCTTGGAAGAAAAACTCAGATCAACCTAAACAGCGTATTAAAAAGCAGAGACATTACTTTGCCAGCAAAGGTCCATCTAGTCAAAGCTGTGGTTTTTCTAGTAGTCATGTATGGATGTGAGAGTTGGACTATAAAAAAGCTGAGCACCGAAGAATTGATGCTTTTGAACTGCGGTGTTGGAGAAGACTCCAGCTTATTGGACAGCAAGGAGATCCAACCAGTCCATCCTAAAGGAAATCAGTCCTGAATATTTATTGGAAGGACTGATGCTGAAGCTGAAACTCCAATACTTTGGCCACCTGATGCAAAGAACTGACTCATTTGAAAAGACCTTGATGCTGGGAAAGATTGAGGGCAGGAGGAGAAGAGGACAACAGAGCATGAGATGGTTGGATGGCATCACCAACTCAATGGACATGAGTTTGAGTAGACTCTGGGAGTTGGTGATCGACAGGGAGGCCTGGCGTGCTGTAGTCCATGGGGTCGCAAAGATTCAGATACAACGTAGTGACTGAACAATGACAACAATTCTAAATCATGTCATTTGACCTCTGTCTTCCTCATTTGAGAAATAGAAATATTCTTCGGATTTATTTATGCCTTATCATGCATCAGAATCACCTAGAGGATTTGTGAAAGCAAAAGTGTCCTTCCCCCACCCCCATAGTGTTCCTGGTTTATTAGGCCCAGTGTGGGGACAGAAAATTTGCATTTCTAGCAAGTTCCAGGGGCTGCTAATGCAGTGAGTCTGGGGACCATCCTTGGAGAACCACCACTCTAGATTATTCTAAAAGCATTGCTCATTCTCTGCTGACCATGTTTTCTTCCTTGAAGGATGCTATTTTAATACTTGACTTTATGTTTATGTTTTGCCCTTTTTGCTGTTTTGTTGGAATCTTAGCACTGGCCTATAAATTCTTCTGGGCAGAAATTATACCTTCCACACTCCACACTCTCTTATTTTCTGTTTTGTTAAATAATGAGTACATTTCCAGTGTGATTAATAATAGAATAAGGGAAAGGGAAAAGACAACTCAGACTACCAACCCCAATAAACAGCCTCCACAAATGTATAGCAGCCCTCGAATTCTCATTAAAATGAACATTTCTCCCAGGTTCCCGGGTCACATTGATAACTGCTAGTCTGTGCCCCACCATTTAAAAAGGACTTTTCCTAGGAACTTTAGGTGGATTAAGCATAGGCCACTTAACACAATGCCTGACACAGACTGAACATTCAGCTATGTTCGTTAATGTGACTTCTACTTAATAAATACTCAGACAAATCCCATTACTTTGAACAAAATATTTATCAAACTCTGTTATGGAACTTTATTCACAGGGGATATATTGACTTTTCAGAGGAAGCAGTGTGTTATTGCAGGGGTGCTTGAGTCTCCCATGTTGTCTGTGGAAATCACTTTCTAGTCTCTCTCTTTTTAAAAACATTCTTAAACATAGATTCAGGAGCAGACAACCAGCAAATCTCAAGGCAGTGGCTCATGGGCTTTCCAGAGACCCTATGGGAGGAGGGCATGGCAACCCACTCCAGTATTCTTGCCTGAAGAATCCCACAGACAGAGGAGCCTGGCAAGCTACAGTCCATGAGGTCACAGAGGGTCGTACACGACTGAAACGACTTAGCATGTATGCTCGTATAGTGTACCGGCGGAAGAGGCAGAGATAGGAAGGTGTTGGGTAGAATGGATCAAAGCTTGCTTTACAAGCTAGTGCCCCCAGACTATGCTTCTGTCTGGAGAACCCAACTTAAGACACTCTTTTGAGTGCCCACTGGGAAATTGATTCAATTGAGTCATCAACTCAGAGGGGCTAGAAGATGATTCATTTTATAACAGATACAACTCTCAAACACTTGCCACAAGATGAAAAGAGGCATGCCTGGAACTTTCGGTGGAAGGACATACTTATAGATGAAAAATATTACAGATGACAAGAGAAGAGTTCCAGCAAGACGAAGCGGTGACACGGGCCAAAGGGTTTGGTGGAATTTTCAATGGGCTCCAGCGTGCGCCGTCTGTCTCCTGCACCGCTCTGGCTTTTCCCAGGACTTTGACTTCCCCTTACCATCCTGCTCTTTCTGAGCATCCCAGCATCTGAATCCCTGTGCACTTACATGGCATTTAATGTCATGGCTGGAAGGCTTTACTCTCTCCCCTTGTCTCTGGGCTGTGGTCCACTTCAGGCTTTTGGCGTCCCACTTGCATCCACTCAAACCTATCTATTGCCTGGGGTCTGAGGTTTCTGAGTCCTTTCTTGCACAGTAAAATTTCCCTTTGTTTTCTCTTCATTTCTTCTCTGCCTCTGTCTAGGGCTGACAGTGGCTGGTACTTGTGCTTCTTACTCATCCTCTCTGCTTAAATCCCTTCTCCGTGTTGCCCCGGCATTCTGGGCTCTGAGCCTCTCACCATCCCTGGTCTTCTAGAATCCCTTGTGATCTCTGCTTCGGGGCTCCTCCTGGGTGACTGCTCAGTCGCCTTGACCTTGAGCCTCTGCTTGCCCTTGCGTGTGGGCTCATCTCTCTGAACCTCACCTCCACGGCTCCTTGCCCTGGTCCATCACAGCGCTGTTGCCTTTCGTGGCTCTGGGCCCTCAGCTCGTCCACGTCCTGCTGTTGCCTGCTCCCAATATGACAAATGTGATTATCAAAAGGCCTGTTTTTCCAGAGATTTTATAAGACAACCCGCAATTTCTTATTCTTCCACAGGAGAAATACTGGTGGTTTCAGGAGCTAAACAGAAAAAAATGTAAATGGTTCAAGGGGGTGCACTTAATCCTCGCTGGAATCTATGTCGTTAAGAAGAAAAGTGAAATAATCCTGGAGGAGACATCAACATAAGATTTAAACTTGAAAAAATTAATATTTTTGCACTTCATTAGTCTTTTGCTGTTTGTGTTAATTCCTTATTGCTGATGTAACAAGTTCTGCAAACTTAGTGGATTGAAACACTGGAAATGTATTACTTTACAGTTGTGGAGATCAAAAGTCAGAATTGGGTCTTACAGGCTAAAATCAAGGTGCCAGCAGGCTGTGCTCCTTCTGGGGGTTCCAGGGAAGAATCTCTCCTCTTACCCTTTCCAGCTTCTGGGGGCCACCCCGCCCTGCATTCCTTGGCTCATGGTTCCTTCCTTCCCCTCCAAACCATCGATCACGTCACTCTGACCTCTGCCTCTATCGCCGTGTCTCCTTCTCTGACTTTGATCATCCAGCCTTCCTCTTCTGCATATTAGTCCTCTTCTTTGATTCAGGATCTCTCTCCATCTCAAAATCTGTAATCGCTTCTTCAGAGTCCCTTTTACTTTGTAAAGTGATGAAACTGCAGGCTCTAAGGGATTAGGACATAGACATCTTTGAAGGACTGTTATCCACTTTACCCCACTAAACCTCTAATTTCATGGTTAATTCAGAGCAGCAATCCCCCAGTTTCTAGGCACCAAGGACTGGTTTTGTGGAGAGCACTTTTTTCCCACAGACCTTGGGGCAAGGGGTATGGTTTCAGGATGATTCTAGCACATTACATTTATTGTGCACTTTATTTCTATCATTATTAGATCAGTTTCACTTCAGATCATCAGGCATTAGATCCCAGAGGTTGGGGACCCCTGATTTAGAGAGCTCCACTGACACCAGAATATGCCTTTATGTGTTCAGTGTTTTCCATGCCTTCTCATTTATTTGTTACAATAACTCCATAAAGCAAGCCCCAGTATCAGATCCATGGTTTAAACGAGGAGCTCAAGGCCAGAGAAATGAAATTGCTTGCCTGAGGTTGCACAAATGGTATTCAATTGCACTTGTTTTCCTATCAGTTATTGTAACTTGCTACTGTGAAATAGGGACTTTTTCAAACCCAGAATATCACATCTGAGATCCAGGATAGTAAAGACAAAAATGTTGTATTAAAAATGTTGATTCTAGAAACATTTATCAAGTCAAGAAGCATCAGGGCATGGTGCTGGAGATGAAAAGTGCAAAGTCCTGCCCTCGGGCAGCTCACAGTCTATCGAGGGAAACACTTGTTGGAAAAATTGTGTGGCAAGTTTGTACCATACATAGGAGAGTAAGGAGCTTTCGAGCAGGTGGTGTGACGGTCAAGGGCACTTACTGGAGATGCTAATGAGCTGCACCTGGGCGTTTAAGGCAGCGGGTGTATCTCCAGGCAGACAGGAGGCTCCAGACAGTGGAAGGAGCATATGCCAAGGGGGAGAGGTGTTGAAAAGCCCCTATCCACGCTGTACCTGGGGGACAGATTGGTCCATGTAGGGGGGACTCAGAACCTGTGGGTGGGTTACCAGCACACCAGCTGCTTATTACCACTTGTGGGCTATGTTTTCACTGACTTACCTGAGTTTGCTCTTGGGGATAGCCTGTGGGTTTTGCTAAAGAGATGAGTGAAAATGGGAGGAAGTTTAAGGGGCCAAGGGCCAACCCCAGATGCAGATGAGCAAGGAGCCAAGGTGTTTAGAAAGGGCTGTGCCTTCTCTTCCAATGGCCAGGCAGCTGCCATCAGCTCCCTAACAAAGTTTATTCTTGAATCATGTCACCTACCGATATCAGCAATGGAGACTCCTTATTATGGAAAGTCCTGGGCCCCAGGGGTGTGTGTGAGGGGGTGGAGCTTCCACGCTGGGAGCATGTGATACTATGATTTCTCCCTCCTTTCCTCTGTCCTGCAGCAATGGAATGGAAGGGACACGGCCCTCATGGTCACCCGTGTGGTCAACCACAGGCGTTTCTCGGCAACAGTCAGTGTGGCAGACACGACCCAGCGGAGTGTGAGCAAGTACCGCTGTGTGATCCGCTCTGACGGTGGCTCTGGTGTGTCCAATTATGCCGAGTTGATCGTGAAAGGTGAGTGCCACCACCCAGGTGGTTGGTCTCATAGGGATCCTTTGACCCCAAGCTTGCATGGTGGGAAGAGCTAAGACTGCTGTTTTCTTATCTGTGGTTCCTTCACTCATTCCATAGAATGAAACAGCTCTAAATTCTCCTCATCAACCCACTTCAAAAAAAAAAAAAAAAAAGAGAAAGTTACTGTAAAATCATGCAATATTTCACTGTCATTCAAAGTTGAGTCTTAGATGTAAGATCTGTACATGAAAGATTATGGGATAGATGACATGGAAGACATCTCCAAATTTGGCTTTTTGGGGTTTTTTTTTGCATTTAAATTTAGAGTGAGCCAATGTCCTTGTGCTTGGGTGGCATTCTGTCACAGTGATCGAGAAAACAATTGTTTCTAAGGGATATTTTATTGAAAACTCGATATAGTGACAATATTTTAGATGGACTTTTGAAATAAATAACCCCTACCACACTGACTTTGAATCAATTTTTTCCCAGTTTTCTTGTTCACCTTGAGGTATCTTTGATGTGTTTTTCCATGAAAATATGTACATTGTCCCTTTTCTGTGTCTTTCAAGGAGCTGGATATTCGATTCATTTTTAAAAGATTCTATAATCTTTGTTACAGTGCTTAATGGTTGTGTGGTATTTCATCAAGTGAATCATCCTATTTTTAAAAATCTCTGTCATCATTTAGATAATTCCAGGTGTTTTTGTTTTTATCTTTCCTCTGTGCGTGCAACAATTAACACCTCAATTGAGTTCTTCCGAAGAGAATATTTTTATTCTACTAAACCAGATTATTTCCTTGGATAAATTCCCTAGGGGTAGAGTTGTTAGGCCAAAGAATATGAGCATCTTTATGGATTTTTCTTTGTGTTGCAATATTGCTTTTGAAAAAAAAAATAGGTTGACAGCTTATACAGGAAAACAGCAGTGTATGGATGTTCTCATTTTCCAGCGTTATGTTCACCGGTTAAAGTTTTAATATAATGTAATTTAGTGAATGAAACAGTGAAGCTGTTCATCTTAATGCTAGTGGCAGAATGACATCCAGTGTGTTTGAAGATAGAAGCATTGTTCGACCCCTGAGAAGGCTCCTGAGTTGGTTCCCTTGGTCAAAGGATGGGTTGGTATGGAACCTTGACCTCTCTTTGCCTGCCTGTGTAATGATTACCTTTCCTGGGGGAGTCTGCCATCTGAGATTTGCTCTCCTGTTCTGTCCTGACTCCAGATGGATATTCACATGGCTGCCCATTTGTCATTAATCAGATCTCAGCTTGACTGTCAACTTGCCATCTTCTTTGAGAGAATTACCCTGTCCTAGCTCCCTGCCATTCTCATGGTCACATTCTGTCACATCACCTTGTTTCTTTTCCACTCTTCACATTTCCAAATTATATATTTTTCTTCATTTACTTGGCAGTTTTGTGTCCCCCCTTTAGGATATAAGCTCGGCAGAGTTTGGGACATCTTCCATGTGTTCCATGGTTCACAGTCACCCCCTAAGCTTAGCAGAGTACCTGGCACATATGTGTGCTGAGCATGCCAAGCCATGTGAGACCATCAGTGTTCCATGGTTTGACCTGCACGATCAGTCATTTCATACGACTCAACTTTAAAGTATTTGTTGAGTGGTGGATCAGTGAATGAGTTATTGGCCTCAGCAGGAATTCATTTCATCATTGGACTTCTATGAACACTTAAGTTGAAGATCAACAAATTGAGTAGTTATGAACAGAACAACTAACAGGAAAAACAATCATCTTTAAAACAGTTTACATTGAGTGTGAATATCTATCAAAGACGCTATTGTTTTGATCCCGCTAGGCTCATCTCTTGACTTTTTGGTGCCATGAGGTTGATCTGTGTGATAAAGTGGCCTTTGTAGGTCTTTCCGATAGTCAGTGAATGTGTTACTCTTGAGCTGTGCCCTCTGGAGCGCTCGCTATAGCTGTTGTATGGTGATATCCCATATCCCACACAGCAGTGGACGCCTCCCGCCCCATCCTGAGAATGGACTGTGTTTTCTCCTGTTGTCCCGGTCTCACCAGCATCTCGCCATGCCTGGCACAGTGCTGGTAACGAGTGGATTGGATGAAGGACTACTGGGGCTAGTGTAGGGCTCTGAACTGTTCTCATGCAGACAAATGGAGTCAGAAGACACTCCATTTAGTCTTTCCTTATGTCCTCAGGTATGAAGAAGGAGGTGTGGGGCCAAATCCTCTGTACGGAGGATGTGGTTTCCATGGTGAAGCATCATGGCCTTTGTTTGGAGGGGTGGCCAGGGTGTCCTGGGACTGTGGTTTGTCCTTTGCTGGCTATGATCCTTGGGCTTGAGTTCAGCCTGGAGGGAGCAGTACCCCGATACAATCCAGGAGCCATGGGTCTGCTCTGTCCCCCCACCTGCAGCCCTCAGCGCTCCATTTTACGGGGTGCACTGGGTGACCTCCTTCAGAAGTCTCCTTCACGGGGGGTGAAGGTGGGTTTGTGCTCCTGGTAATGGATCCTGTTTTGTTGCACCTTACTGAAATCCTTTATGGAATATCGCATTTTCTTAGTGCCTGTTTTTCTTCCCTATTGCACTTCTTCTCTTTTTACTTTCACTGGGGGTCAGCTAGAAACTAGACCCCTTGAATGTAGAAGTCCCTTCACATCCATGATCTTATTTAGTCCTGACTGTGGCTCTGCACCTTGGTTTTATTTTCATTCATTTTACAGCTGTAGGAACATCCACAGCCAGGTTGAGAAGCAGAGACAGGTCCTGAGGGGCAGAGCGGGGCTTGGCCCAGGGGCTGGATCAGGCTTTTTAGGCCTCACCTGGAGGGCCTGAGGCTTGTGGCCTTGTCAGCAGATGGTAGCATCGTGTCCTGAACAGTGTCAAAAACATCCAGACTGCAGGCTGGGCTCATAGCAGGGGTCCCCTGACCTGTTGCTAACTTGTGTTTTTAACTCATGCATCATACTTCCACTGTTCCCTTCCTTTCTGGAGTGGGATACCAACTGCCAGATTCCTGGAGAAATGGATTTAACCCTTCCCTACACACACACACACACACACACACACACACACGCACACGCACACACACACAGAGACACACATACACAGGACTTCCCTGATGGTCCAGTGGCTAAGACTGTGCACTCCCAATGCAGGGGGCCTGGGTTCGATCCCTGATTTTATTTTCTTGGACTCACTGTGGACGGTGAGCCCCAAAATCACTGTGGATGGTGACTGCAGCCATGAAATTAAAGACACTTGCTCCTTGGAAGAAAAACTATGACAAACCTAGACAGTGTATTAAAAAGCAGAGACATCACTTTGCTGACAGAGATCTATATAGTCAAAGCTATGGTTTTTCCAGTAGTCGTGTATGGATGTGAGAGTTGGACAATCAAGAAGGCTGCATGCCAAAGAATTGATGCTTTTGAACTGTGGTGCTGGAGAGGACTCTTGAGAGTCCAAAGGATTGAGAGTCCAAGGGACTGCAAGGAGATAAAACCAGTCCATCCTAAAGGAAATCAGCCCTGAATATTCATTGGAAGGACTGATTCTGAAGCTCTAATACTTTGGCCACCCGATGGGAAGAACTGACTCATTGGGAAAGACCCTGATGCTGGGGAAGTTTGAAAGCAGGAGGAGAGGGGGATGACAGAGGATGAGATGGCTGGATGACATCACTGACTCGATGGACATGAGTTTGAGCAAGCTCCAGGTGTTGGTGATGGACTGGGAAGCCTGGTGTGCTGCAGTCCATGGGGTCACGAAGAATAGGACACCACTGAGTGACTGAACTGAACTGAACTGCGGTGGATGGGGCAGGACACTTGTCCCAGGTCACGATCTTGTTCCCATATCTGTGGCCCTGGAGAGACCCTTTGAGGCTTCCTATGCAGAGTGGGGACTGGTGCTTCCCCCATGTGCAGAGCATACAGGAGGGAATGTTAAAGTGGGGGTCATGGGATTTCCCCGGTGGTCCAGTGGTTAGGGCCCTGTGCTTCCCTTGCAGGGGCACAGATACAGTCTCTGGTCGGGGAACTAAGATCCCACCTGCTGCACAGAACAGCCAGCATTTTTTTTTTTTAAATGGGGCCCAACATGTGGGCTTGGGAACATTTGGGTCCTGGAGTTCCCACTACATCAGACTCCCTAGATTCCTCCTCTGTCCACCACCAGTGGGCCAGGGATCTGGAACAAAAGAAAAGTTTCTGGTCCTGCTTGTGCTCAGCCTCCTGATCTCATGGGTCCCCTCCACCTGGCATCACTCATTTGGAACTCAGGCCATGCAGGGGTTGGGAGGTCACAGGACCCCTCAGCTCCCAAGGGTGCCAGGAGCTGGAGGTCCCTCTGACGCTGTCTGTGGCAGATGCTTGTGCGGGGCCAAGCCGTGGAGGGTGGAGACCTCTGTCTCCACTTCTGCCTCTGTCTCTCCCTAGGTGAGTGTGTTTATGGCTGGCTTGTGGCTCGTGTACTGTCCTGGGGCTGTGAGCATCGGTGCTTCAGAAAACACCACCTCATTTGAGTGTAGGTAATACAAAATTTTCAGGGCAACACACAGATCAAAATGCAAGCGAATTGGAATTACTTCATTCCGAGGAGCTGTTTATTGAGTTGTGATAATGTACCTGGGTATACATTAGATTACTCTGTAATTGAGGTTTCGCTCAATTGACAATCTGGCCCCTCAACCTACCTGTTCCAGACCACTGCTCATAAATGCACTAATTTGCTGTCTGTTTCTGGGTTTCCTAAAGTCTTTGATTCCAAGGTATTTTAGCTTATCCCAAGGGCTTAGGTGTCTTCAAATATGCAGATGTGGTCTTAATGACAATTTTCTAACTCATAAAAATTTTGTTGGTGGTGTTTTTTTTTTTTAATTTGTCTTCTAACTCCATTTAACAACCTACCATGGGTTCAGAACTTTTTATCAATATACAGATTAGTTCCTCGAAGAAATCCAATACTGGTGCTGAGAGTCAGATGTTCGGATTTAAGTCCCTTATGA